CCTTTTTTTTTTTTTTTGGGGGGGGGGGGGGGGGGGGACTGCGTGCGCGCATGTGTGTATTTTATTGTGTCTTTATACATACCTTTAGTGTAGAGAACATTGGACCACTCCACAGCCTCAAAGCCGTCTCGTGGCCCCCCTAGAGTGTAGGTATCCCTGAGTGTTGCGTTCTGTGGTACGCCCCACGAGTGGAAGGGGCCGCTGGGAGATTTGCTGCAGTTGAGACTAGACAGGTTGAACTCGTACACCACTCCTTCCTTGTACAGGAAAATGAACTGCACATATCTGAAATAGATAAATGTCTAAATAATAAATTAATAAAATTAATAAATGATAATACTAATATTGATGATGATAATAATAATAACAATTAATTATAATAATTAACAACAACAACAACAGCAGCAACATAACAGGAATAAAAATAAGAATGACAATAACAATAGTAATCAAATAATAATTATGAAAAGAAGAAGAAGAAGAAGAAGAAGAAGAAGAAGATAGTGTAAAGCGCATAGAGCTTGCTGTCGAGCGGGGATATGCGCTATACAAATGCTATTTATTAGTAGCATTATTTAATAATAATAGTATTAATAATAATATTAATAATAATAATAATAATATTAATAATAATAATAATAATAAATAATAATAATAAACAGCTCAACAGCAGGATCTGCGCGCTTTCCATCTATATTATTATAGGCCCAGCAGACCTGATGGCATTCTGAAATAATCTCAACTTCCTGGGAAGCATAAAGTGCTAGCAGCTATTTTACGGGCGCTAAAACGCTGACATACTGACTAGATCTTTTGTTATCTATGGACGAGTACCCATTCACACCTGGGGGGGGGGGGGGTGGTTGGCGGGTTCTCTGGTGTGGTTTGCTTCTTTCCTATCAAACATCTATCTTCCTTATCTTCCTTTCTTCTTTTTTATGTTTGTTACACTCTTGTAACACCTCTAATCTTCTGGCGCTCATATGACCGTATGCAGTTGCGAGCGCCGTAAAACCTCTACTAAAACTAAAAACTAACACCTGGGGGAAGTGAGGAAAGTTTGTGTAAAGCCAGCTACTCCCGAACCCGTAACCTCACAATTACGAGTCCGGTTTATATAAATAAAAATAGTATCAGGTTTATCCTTCTGTTAATTTGCAAACATTTGTTCTTGCACGAAACTGTAATGAATACTTTTTTAAAAGTAGTAGTAGAATATTTGTGTCTCCATCGACACAATTTAGGTCAATTAGGAGGCGGGTTGTTTTAACCTTGTTCATCAGGGCTACCCGCGCTTAGAGGGATCCGACGTTCCTGTACAAATGGAGATAACGTATTTCATTCAAAAGCCAACCCACACTGGAGTCAAACTCACGTCTTCAGCATGCGACAGTGAAGGGTGTAATTGCTACACCACAGACACCGGTAGAATGCAGATTTCTGAAGTAGATGTTGAGTGGGTTGAAATGATAAGACGCGTGTACCGGTATAACTATTTGTCTGAACACGAACTGCAAATGTTTGAAATGAAAGCTAGGGCCAGGGGTCCTACTTGTGACTTTGCTGAGTATGTGTTGAGGTGGGGGGTGGGGGGATAAGACAGAGTCCTTTGTGTGTCAGATCAGACTCTTTATGCCCAGAACACTCCAGAGTTTGCTCAGCTCTTCACGTAGTACTAATAAACGAGACACTTTTTTCTGCTCACTGCATGAGTCCGATGTTGATAAAGTATACGCTTGGCTGTCTCCAGGGCGCCAACGTTTTGTCCCGTCACTCCTGCCCCCACACCCCCCCCCCCCGGGTTAAAAAAATCAAACAAAAAAAACACGCCCCCGACGTGATGAGGTCAAGACAAATCGACAGTCGGGCGATCATTGTGAAGTGAGGGTGTGATGAAGGGGGTGCGAGTCGAGAAGAGAAA